ATTACCAATTTCCTTTGTTTCTAGACTTGACACAAATTACCTAATTAACTTTTTTTTTTACAAAGAGCTCTTTAAATTGTCACTTTTTAAAAATTTATATTTTTGAGTGCTGTGTGTTAAAGTAAAATTGTCAGTAGTTTAAGTCATAAAGTTGCTCCTCAATAATGTACTTGAACAGGATTCTTTTTTGCACATATTATAAGAATAAAGTTATTTTTTATTGAAGTTGTTTTTAAGGTGCTTGCACTGAGAAGAATGCAAAAATTGGATTGATTTTCTCTGACTTGTTGATTGATTGTCATATACAAAACTCAGGCTAATAATATGCTATCACAATTTTCAGAAAAACATTTTCAGACGCATTCCTATGGCTTGAAATATGTATTTGTTCAAACAAAGCTCTCAAGATTATACATCGAAGACCGATTAATATGCTAAATAAACGCTTTCAAATTCTACTTTGCATGCAGGTTGATACAAAAGGTGATTAAACTCAGTGTACATATATTTCGGTAAACCTCGTAAATCATCAAGAGGCCATGAAAAATGAAGGAGAGTGCCGATTTTGAGATGTCACTCGTTTCCACAGAAAGTAAATAGTATGTAAATTACATGCAATGCACGGCAAAGCATGACCACATCTGTATTAGACTTTAAGGATTTTTTTTTTGATATACAAGTTATTATGGTGGACTGAAAAATAAGGCTCTTTTTATAGTGACCAGTTTTAATTCTTTGAGTCGACATTAAATTGTAACACTGAATTTATGAGATTATTAGATCTGTGTAACTAGTACAATGACAGTTATTTTTTTTTCCAAGTTTTAAGTTTTTATCTTATCTGTGAAATTGATTTGGAAAAAGACATTTTTTTTCTCTCTCTTAATTATGTTTATCTGTAGAAAGTTTTATGGATTTATTTTTTATTATTAGAGGATGAATAGATCTGGGTGAAACCCTGCAGTCACGTTTTTGTAATACAGTTGTTCTATTTAGATATATATCATTTCCTTCTTCACTAAAAGTACACTAGAAACTACACGGATTTAGTACAATTCTCTGAGGTTGATATGTTATGATAATTAATATCCAATTGCCTCATTAATGCAAAACATCATATAGACATCGACAGCTGATTATGTTAATTGTTATTAATTTGTAATTATTTGTGCGAACTTGTGGCTGTATTTGTAAGAACACATATTGTGGAGGACAAATTCCAAATAATTCAAGAGTTAATGGACTATTAAAGTAAATTTTTAAGACTGCTTTTGTGAAATTTCATTTTGATATTGTAATTGTAAGATCAGCCATGCTGATAGATAGGATTTTGTCACGATAAGTTGTTGTAAAAATAAATTGTGGTCATGTATGTTATAAATGTTTTTAGATATTCATGATTGCATACATCAAATGTTCGTTCATTTTCTTTTTATAATGAATGATAACTTTTTCAATTTACCTATCAAATAAAACATTATAATGGAAGAATATTTATCCTCCATAAAAAAAGGGACATGAAATGAAGAATTCTGACACAAATGGTACAATTTATTCACTCAGCATGCCAATTAAGGCTGCTTTGAAAATGCTACTGTTTGAATATAAATATTAAAGTGGCTCCAGTTTTAGCGTTTGTTAATAGCACTGTTAATGATAAACCTGATGCAAGGTGGGAGGGAAAAAACGTGACTTCCTTGGAAGTTTGTTATTGTTATTGAATTAGCGCATTGATTAGGGTCTCTTGGACTGGACTAGCTGACCTCCATGGTTCTTTGTGATCCATTAGTGTTTACCATCCACTGAGTGTTTTTTCTTTGCACTGAGAAAGTTAGATGATTAGCATTAAAGACCTGACATTGTTATCATAATCTCTGAGTTTTCTTTGTGTCAACATTTATTATGCTTAGCTGTTCGATCCTTCTACATTTTGAGGTTGTCAAGGCCATTTTTTAGAGACCTATATATTTATATACAAGATTACGTATGTAAAATAGGTCAAAATTAATTTTAAAAAAATGATTTTACCCCCCCTCTTTTTTTTAGGGGGAGGGAGGAGGGAAGGGATAATGTTTGAGAATTAGCTAAAGATGTGAGAGATCCTTTCTTGTGCATCGAGAAGAGAACCAATTTAACTAGCATCAATGTATATAAAAGTACACATGTAGTCATATGAGGAGAAAAATATGATATTTGAAAAATTAGATTGTCAGGTAGTTACCTGTCGAATAAAAGAACGAAAAATTCATTAAAATCAGCTTTTCATAAATTAAATCATCATGGGTTGAACCAATAATATTTGTTTAAGAGACATCGACAAACAACATAATTTAATTTGAATGTGTATTTTTATAAGATATGTAAATTCAAAGTAACTATCTGATTTGTTATTTTAGAATCAATCACTGTAATGCCTGAAGCCAGCGGCATTTGCCAGGTGTGACATACATTGGACAATCAACAGACATTGTCCTATGTCTTTACACATGTCATAATCGTCATTAATATCTGAGGTTTTTCGACATTTCCTCATGTCTGCGTTGGCATTGGTGGTAATATGGAAAAAGAAAAAAGTCCTGTTGACACTAAGATAAAAGTCCACTGTGAAAAAAAAGGTCAATGTCACGAGGGGTTGTGCACCTTAAATAACATTGGATCACTGATCTATAGGGCTGAGCACCTTAAAATTTGGATCAAGATTAATTATTTAAGAAAAAGGGGGGAAAACAGAGAAATAAGAAAAAGGAAAAAGTTTTATTGTGCCAGTCTTAGGATGAACTGATTATTATTATTTATTGCATGAATGAAAGTCGAACAAACAAAATTGATTGAAAGTTAGCCATATAATATGTTTTATTGGCTAGATTAGGAGACTGTAAACTGTTAAAGTATAAAGTTAGACATATTAATTAGTTGTTTATGCTAAGACCTGTCTGTTTATGTAATTCGTATGACGTGCAAAATGTCTCTTGATAAAACAGGACACAGTCGGAGATTAATTGAAATAAGTGCTGTACGTATGATATATTGTAGGGATGTTTTTGAAATATATGACAATTTATTTTTAAAGACATTTTATAATTGTTCTGAACATATTTTATTAACAGATTCTATAATTCTATAGTATAATATCAATATCATTTAAGAAACTATATAGATATAGTTGAGAAAAAATTTATACCTTAATTTAAAATCTGCATGGTGCAGCGAAATTATTAATTTCCAAGCAGTCTCTTCATGTATGTGTATTGTAAAAACTGTATGCATGCATGGGTACCTTTAAAGTTTGTGTATCCAAGTTTCCTATTTGTGTCTGAGGGCACTTGACATGTATTATGTATAATTAGTTTAGAAACAAGCAAAATTTTATTAATACAAATTTTGTAGAAAACAATTATTCATTCAGAAAAATATTTGGGGGAAAAAAAACCCCAATCTATTGGGCCAACCTACAACAAATCCAATATTTTTAAAATATGGTATTTGATTGTAATATTGTGTGCAGGTCTATATATTTATAATAATTAATTGTGTTACATGCAGGGTCCATTTAAGTGAACTTTAATACATAAATGTAATGGCAATTCTATCTTTTTTTTAAAATTTTTTTTTAATAATGAATGATGTTAAGGCAATGCATCATGCTTAAATCGTGACAGTGTGCATGAAACAGTCAGCGTATATATTTATAAACAAAACCAAAACCTCAAAAAACCCGTAAAATCACTAATGTCTCACCTTTGATAAATAATACGGAAAAAAAAATCAGATAAAGGTTCTAGAGTAGTGATGGTAGTTGACATTTTAATTAAAGGATGACAGTTAAGGCACAATGAGGTAAGATGAACCTCCGTTTTGAGCTGGTCGCTGTGTGAATGCACATTTTATCTAGAATGAATGCTTAGCCTAATGCAGTGAAATTGGAGACAAGATGACAAAGTATCCTTTTGGGCAAAAGTACCCTCTAACTAATGAAAAAATAAGAGATGGAATTATCACTCATGTGCAGTGTACCCTCAGAGGTTAAGCAGCAAAAAATAATTGTTTAGGAGGCACAATTCCAAGAAATTGCATTGAAGATTGAGCCTTTTAATAATTTTTTTTTTGCCCCATATACTGTAACAACTAACTGAAACAAGAAAAATAATAGAAACTTTATCCTCACTGTAAGAGGAGGCAGTATTTATACCTAAAGTGCCACAGTCATATTCTCGAGTATTCATGTCCCTTGAATCTGAATTTCAAGTACGAAGGAAAAACCCTGTTAGCTGGCCCCATCATGTTAAATGTATATTTGGCCAGTACATGTTATCCTATTTTCACAGTAAATTAAGCACTTAAATATAACTGTCTTGCTGCTAATAGGTCTTTTACTCACTAAGGTGAAATTTTTCATCTGGTAGAACAAAGGAATGACGTCATTACATTTGATTGAGGAGATTAAATGCTTTTAATAGATAAGAATGTAATCGTGATCCTTGTTTTTATGTGCCGGTAATATGATCTTGACGATTAAGAGCTGCACTTCAGTCTGTGTAGTACATGTGTACAAAATTTTGACAAGTGGGGAGGTTTTAGACATAAAATATGCAGTGTTGAGTTCTTTAACAATAGAACCCACAAGGGACTACCCAAAGGGGGGGGGGTCCTATAAATTTGCAAAGAACTTTTTCTATCATAAAAAAAATGATTAACAGATATAGGTAAACAGTATCATTTTTAACATATACTAACTCATTAAGTTCATCTCCCCTTCCTTTTTTGGCAATTTTTTCTCTTTTGCATGCTCCCTGAAGTCAGATTTCTTGGTCCACCATTGAATTTATTGATTTATTAACAGAATTCATGAATTTGCACATTGTTGACCATGCTAAAGCCACTGAAATATGAAGCCCACTTTTTTAAATACACATACAGTGGATTATAATGATTCTTCAGTTGTAAACATGTAAACTTTTTAAACTGACTATTAAATTGTTGTGATGTTTTTTGTTTTACAGAGATGACCCAATCACCACTGGCCTCGCCGGTGGTTGAGCGCCGCCCAATCCCCACAAATGTTAATGTCTTCAATGACCCCCACCTTCAGCAGGGACTGGCCAAAATCAAGCATGAACAGGAGCTGCAACACCAGCTGCTGATTCAGCACTACAGACAGCAACAGCAGCAGCTAGCACAAGAGCACGAAAAACAGTTGGAGAACCATATCAAGGTAAATAGCATAGAGATTAGCTATAGCTAGCACAGGAGCACATGAAACAGCTATAGAACCATATCAAGGTAAGGTAAAGAGCATAGAGATTAGCTGTAGCAAGCACAGGAGCACATGAAACAGCTGGAGGACCATATCAAACAAAATAGCACAGAGATAAGCTGTAGCTAGCACAAGCTAAAGAACCATATGAAGGAGAAAAGCATAGAAAATTAGCTGAAGCCAGCAGAGGAGCACAAGAAACAGCTAGAACCATATCAAGGTAAATGGCAAATAAATTTAGCTAAAAGATATTGCAGTTGAGCCTGAGAAGCACCAACAGTATTGTGTCAAGGTAAATGGCCCAGAGATTAGTTGGGGCTCTCACTGCAGCAGGATAAGCATCCATTAGAACTACATCAGATAAATAGCAGAGATTTAGCTTAGCTAGCACAGGAGCATGAGAAACAGTAAGGAAATAGCACAGAGGTTAGATGTAGCTAGCACAAGCTAAAGAACCATATGAACCACATAGCACTGGAAAATGAGAAGTACCTAAAAGAACCATATCGGGTAAATAGCAGAGATTAATTGTAACTATAGTGCTGTGGAACATGGGAAATGCCTAAAGCATAGTATCAGTGGCAGGTAAATAGCAGGGATTAGCTGTAGCTACGTAGCACAGACTCAGAAGAAACAGGATATGACAGGAACAAATCCCAAAATAGAAAATCAGTCTTCAGACTTCTTCAAGTTAATGAACCAGCTGATCATTAAAGGGTTTTGCTGCATTTTGTAGCAGTAGGACAAAAGCTAAGACAAAAAATACTAATTCATTAACAGAATAAAGACATGGAATAGATGTCAAAGAGGCATATATCATAGTTGCAGAAAGCAAACAAAAATAGCACAGTTATATATAGCAACTGCATTAAGATGGGAAGTGGTTATTTGTGGAAACATCTTAGAGTTGCCTTAATAGGACAGACTAAAACAATAATAGGAAGCTTTTTTAAAAAGTAAATTTTAGAATTATACCAGATTCTTTTGGCACATTGGTTAGGAAAACTAGATTTAAAAGGCTCAAGCCAAACAAATACGTAAGGGTGGGGAAATGAATTTTAGGTTTGTTAACAATGAACACACCCACTGTTTACAAACACTGAATTATCTGATGCCGAAGGTTTTTTGGAAAGGGTCAAGGTTACGTGGCCAGCAGAATGCTCAGGACTCTTCTGATGTATATATATATATATACCTTTATGGTCACTGTAATTTCTATGAGTAGTTTTTTAAGTACATGTACAATACACTGGTATAAGTAATGCAGCATCAATTTTTATAAACACTTGCTTTTATTTTAAAAAGAATCACATATCAAAATTTCAACCTTGACAAGGTATATGTTACCAGCATTTTGAATATTTTTAGATCAGCTATATATGGCCTTGATTTCAGAGACTTTAATCAGATTTTTGTTATGGGATTCTCCCATCAATAAATGATTCCTTCAAACAGATTGTCTTAACTTCGTGATATGTCAGCATGTAATTGACAACATTTTCGTTTCCACGCATTGTGTGCCACTTGTAACAAGTTAAAGGGACATGCACATCAATGAAGGTTTTGATGTTTTAGGGTCTGAACATTAGGTCAACAGCATTTCTCACTTATATGCACACTTTGTAAATATCTTGTTTGTCATCTTGATAAAAAACTGGACATACAATACAAATGTCTTTTTATGGAAGCTAAGACCATTTCCTTTGAAAATTTGTCAAAAAATAAATGTTTTAAACAAAAGTAGGGACATGATTACCTTAAAATCATTTAATAAAAGGGGTTTTTTTTAACATGCAGATAGCAAGGAGTTTAAAAAGTTCAAAATAAGTGTACACCGTCCAGTCTTAATATAGCTAAAGGTGTTATATTTACTTTAAACAATGACATAGATCTTCAAAAACGCTATAGATCAGAACACAATGATATTGATTGCTTTTATTTTGGGACGTTAAATTGTAAAAGTAGCTCATGTATTGTGCCAAAAGCTTGGGTTGTCTCCATTATATATTCATGCCTTCATTGTTCCATAGTAATTCTACATTGTCAGCAAGGGGGTATATGGGTATATGAAAATTATTTATGCTTTGGTGCAATCACAGCATGGGACTTCAGAACGTTCCTTTGGTGGTATATTTATCTATGTGTTTTTATATATATTTGAGCACTATTTGTGGAAAGAAATCTGGTGTCAACCTAGACGTATTTGCTTTATACTTCCTACAATGTATACTTAATCAAGTGAACCAAACTTAGCACAGTCAGCCCAAAAATACAAATTGTTTTTCCCAAAATACCCCTCAGGAGCTGGGAAAACAGAGCCTGTTTTTGTTTTGCATTGTGGCAAATTGATTTCCTTGTAAACTCCAATAAAACATCATCCTAGCTATTTCAGGACAGAGCCTGATAAAATTAGCTTCCTTTGAAGCGTTGCTATAGTTTCCTCACTGATCTCTTAAAAGCCCTAATGGGCAGAAGCTATGATTGACTTCTTTAGTAAGGAATCTATAAATATCCCCTTCCCCTAACTATCTGAGCTATTTATGGAATCGGTAGCAATATTGATCCATTACAGAGAATATCAGTATCTTTGATTTTTTTTCCCCCTAAAGCTGAAGAGTAATTACAAATCATTGATCTGTAACTTGGTAATTGTTACTACTGAAAGAGCAAACAAAGATGCAGAGCAGGAAATGGAGCTCTCCTGCAGAGAGGTAAGAATGGTCCGGCCACCTGCTGTGCCTTATCTCATTCCAATATCAAAGTGAGAGGACTAAGGAAAGGGAATCCTCTAGGTACAGGTGAAAAACAAAAAAGGAACTGGCAGATGTAGTCATGAAAGTTGTATCAGCCTTCTAATGGACTTGTTTAGATACAAATAAAAACACACCTTCAGTACACTGCGAATGGAATGTCCTCATGCATTTTTACTTAATTCTTTGTAATGCTGTGGGTCTGAGGCACTCGGTGCAAATTTTCTGATATAATGTACCCAAGAACACCGCAAATTTTAAGGGTGTGTGTGGGAGGAAGGGGGAGGGAGAGAAAGGATTATCTTTTAAGAAATATAATTTTGTTATGATGTATCTAAATGGGGTGATTTACGAGGGTTGTCGCAAAATTCTGTAGACAAGCGTAGTTTTGTAGGAACCCAGTGTCATATTAAATCAATGAAAGTTTGTACATATATAAAACTAATAATTATATCTAATATGTTTATGTACAAAAATTGAGAAATTACACATTTGAACCCTATTTAAATACAATTTTCCAGTGTCTTGTGTAAGAAGACAGCGCAGTTCCCAAACATTGCAATTAAAAATTGGCATGTGATATTTAAAATTTTAAGAAAAGGTATTTAATACTCAGAATTTCGAAAATAGAAATTAATATCATTGAAATTGCAATGTAAACTACCTTTCCTCCAATTTTATTGCATATTCCTTGATTAATATGAATTTTATAACGTTTTATATGCACCAATTTGAAATCTGACCAGTTGAAAAATGGCGCCTGTGTCAACACAGGCAGTGCACAGAACTGTGATCAAATGTTCTGAACTTGAATTTGCTCCTACAGAAATGCAGAAATCATAAATGTTTGGTACGCATGGAAATGTCTTTCGGTCCTTAGTGTATCAAAATTGTTCAAGTTTGTGAAAAAGCGAAACTAAATAAGAGACCGCCTAAAGAAAAGGGCACGGAATCGTGGTCAAAGTGACATGTTGCAACTCCATTTGAGAAGACACAGAAATCAAAATCATAGAGACATGAGGTTTTTAAAATAGTAATTATTAGATACATATGCATGTGCATACTTTGTATTTTCTAATGTCAAATCGTATCCTAGCAATTAAGATATTTTTAATTTATTTCTATTATGTTTATGATAAATTAAAAAATGATTCTTTTTATTAGTGAAACTACTTCAATCAAAATTGGTGACGTTAAGTGCATCTTTTTTGACGTCAGAGATTGCTCCAGGTGTTAAGGAACGGTATTACTGAAATTGTTTTTACTCGAATTGGTTTTAAGCAATCATGTTAAAACTTAGTAATTTACCAACCAATAACACACTTCATCCACCCAGAAAATTTTAGAGAGATACGTTTAATTTTGTTGAAGATATGAGCTCAGTCTATGGAATTTTGGGACAACCGTCGTATAGTATATGCACAGAAGTATACACATTTAGATTTATTTAGTAACACACTAGGGGGGAAACATCACCTAAATTAGGAATTTGCTTACTACAAAAAAGATTTATTTGCTTTTCAAGATATTAAAGGCAAATGCAGTCAAATATTATCAACCCAGTTTTAGGACAACATATTCATATTCTGTTGGCCATCAAGAGCAATACATAACAAAGGCATATGTCACTCAGACTTCCTTTAATTTTGATTTTCTTTGTAAGACTTTGGAGGCCAATATATCAAACTTAATATGAAGGTTTCCAGTGGATATGAAGTCACTTTGTATTCTGACTTAGAAATTCAAGAACCCAATAAATTAGACTGACACAGAAATTAAATGTTGGACTTCATAGATTCCTCTGCAAGCTCTTATAACATTGCAGGCTGTAAAATAATTAACAATTTAAATCCAATATTTATAACTTGAGCATTTTGATATAGATATTAATCTAGCATTGAAGGAGATGGGGTATTATTGCTGGAAAAGTGTGATAACAATAAAACTCATTCTTTAGGAAGAATGTATTACTAGATTAATGTGGTTTTAAAAGTATGAATAATTATTTGAAGATTTTGAAAAGAGCTTTTCCTGTTGTTAATTCTTTTTGTTGAATTAAAAAAAATAACTTGATGAGAATATAATTGATGTTTATATAACATTTTTGTTTAAGATCCTGTTTTTATTAAGTCTATATAAGAAGTACCCCCTAATGATGACAGAATGTTGAAATAATTTATAAGAAATAGAAATTAGTCTTTGAGACCTAGATAAGATTTGCAATTTTAATTTTTTTTTTCAGCAGTTGGTGTTCATGCAAAAACAACAAGAAATGTTGGAGCAACAAAAGAAATTACAGGAACAACATCGCATGGAGAAGGAGTTGTTGGAGAACGAAAGACTAGAACAGATCAAAAACAAAAAGGACGGGGAACAGAGTAAGTTACAAATAGGTCAAAGGTCAAAGTTTATTAGGATGAGGGAACAACGATTGAGAAGTGACTGTTATGTTTGAATTGACCACTCCCTCTTTTAATTCCCACTTACTAACTATTATCTATTTGCTGTTTGCAAGCCCCCCCCCACCCCCCACCCCCACCCCCAACACCTTCAAAGTTAAGATTTTAGGAGAGGACATTAAATTTGTTTTAGCTAAATTTTAATTGAACTGTTCCTTGTATTAAATTACATACATCAAAACATGGTGAAAACAGATCAGCAGTGACAACTGAAAATTGTTATTTTATCTAGCTGTTATTTATTGAGTCTTTATTGTATTTTGTGATAGATTATGTCTTTGTTAATTAAGAGCATCATGAGTTTGTGACGATCTGGTTCAAACATTTTCTTCTGTATCAGTATTAATTCTTCAGTTTGGCAAAGGTGATTAGAGAGTGTGGATCAATCATACTTTTTTTTTTTTGAAGTAGGAGATTCTTAGAAAGACTTTTAATTGAACTGTGAAAAAAAAAAATCCATTTCTTACATGACAATTAAAAAAATTAATTAGATGTAAAGTAGAACTTGATAGGACCTCCCAGTGTGGAATCTTTTCTATCAAAAGGTAAAAAAAAAAAAGAGGACCTCCCTGAATTGCTATCTGTTATACACAGTAAGAGAATGTCCAATTACATTTATATCTGTAACTCTAAATTGTTCAAAGAAAATGGGCAACTTAATATTAAAAGTAAAACAATAAATTGTTCAGAGAAAAATGGGCAGCTTTATATTAAAAGTTTGCAATGTGAGGCAATGAAAAGGAAACCCTACTTCCAGTTTTCGCACAACTTTGACCTGGTGAATTTTTAATGTAAACATAGTATAATGACATAATAATACACACATCATACGAGAGTTCATGCAGTATAGAAGTGTTCATTACTCTTTATTTCTAGATAATTAAGAGTAATTATGTCAAACTACGTTCATAAACACCAATGAATTGCATGTTAACTGCACCGATTACATAGTAGAGTCACGTAACCTTAACCTCCCTAACAATTTGAACAACTATATAGCTAGAGGACATTCAACTGTGTGGATTATATAGCGTTGTAATTCAGATGAGAAAATCTTTGTTTGTAGGTGCTATTGCATCATCGGAAGTAAAGGCCAGACTACAGGAATTTGTCCTGACCAAAAAACAGCGAGAGGCAGCGGCAAGGAATTCACCCCCAGCTTTACGATGGGGGTAGGTACAAAATAAGGGTGGTACAAACCGCACACAGTAACCCCATCATTAAATTACTCTTTTCAAAGACTGGTAAAGATGCTCTTTTTTGTGGAATATTTTATCTCTGCCAGATGGAAACAAAATTATAGGAAGCATGGGACCAAGGAATGTTGAACAATATTTTGAAAAAATACATGGATAAGCATAGCTTTCATGTAATTATTGACCTCTGTATTTTCTGTTGTAGAGTGGATCAGAGTTCCCCACCCCAGGGGATTTCACCACCCTATGCCTCTCACCTTCTCGGCAAATACGAAGACTTCCCCCTGAGAAAAACAGGTACCCTGCTTCTCGTGGATTGTCTGTCTCTTGTGCATCTTGTAATGTGACTCAAACTGTGTAGTTCATGTATCATAGGGTGAAAGTAACCATTGGAATTTGGCTTTTTCTGGGAGAAGAAATGGGGGGGTGTTGTTAAAAGATAATTTAAATGAAAATAAAGTATAAAAAGCCAGGGAGAGGTGTTTGTTATATGCAGACAAGTCTAAGCTTTCAGTTTGAGTGACAAGTAAAAGTTGCAGTTCTTGTTTCCGTGTAGATGTAGGGTTTAATGTGATGATGCTGCATGTATAGCAGTAAAATTGTTTTACTAACCACCATCAAACTCATCTTAAGTGTACATCTATCTACTACCAATCTCAATACAGTTGTTTCAGGATAAGGTCTGCAAAGATTTAGTTAACAAACTTACTTCAATAAAGTACACCGGAACACAATTTAGTCTCTTACAATATCTTGGTAGCTGGAGTGCTCTTTAATATAACAATTTCATAGTGACATGTACTTAAGCTGATCAGAAGATGATTAAAGAAAAATTCCAATAGAATTTGGAGTTGTTTGGTCAAAGGTCAAGGTCAAAAGGTCAAATATTTTGGTACTTTGGAAGCATTACTGTAGTTAGTTGTCAGAAGCTGGTTATTATTGTTTAAATTCAAGTAAAAACTTTGATAGCAATGTACATGTATATCCTGCGTAGCTAAATGATATCTGATATATATGCTTGTATACATGCTATTTATCTGAATCTATAATGCTGATGAGATTACATAAACCTAGATGGAATATCACAACAGTGTATTAGATATAAGTACATGCATAGCTCAAAAGTATTGTCAAGTACATGTAGCTAAAAAAAATTGCCTAGCTGATGCTGTAAACCATTCGTCTTCTTTTCTGAAAAATTGATTGTTCTTTGCTAATCGTGAAAATTTCATGTTTAGCCAGCTTATTGGCTCTTCTATTCATGTTGCATAAATTGTGAATATTACAAAAATATCAACAGGTTGATATCAGTGATTTGTTTCCAGATAAAAAAAAAATTTGTAAAAGATTATCATTGGTTTACTGTGGCTTCTTTCAAGGACTAGGGAGAATTGATATGTAATATGCACTGCTGTTGATGTAGCTCTACAGCTTCTTTTGATTGCGTGTGTGTGTGAACTGAATTGTTGTTTTGATTTCAGCGTCTGAGCCCAACTTGAAGGTGAGATCCGCGCTAAAACAAAAATTAGAAAGTCAGCGGAGGATAAACCATAGTCCGATCTTACCCAGGAAGAACAAGTTTGTCAAACGAAAGCCACAGCTCTCATGTAGGTATCAAGGGCATTGTAGCATGTATTTGTCTATTTACGCATTGTGGCATGTTTTGAGGCTCTTTAGGGAACAATCACGAACTTTTGTTTGAGTTGTGAAAAGAACATGATTTAACACTGTTGAATTCTTATGTAGGGATTTGGTTTTTCTAGATATTTTGTTAAATCTGATTTTGTTTTGTTTTCTAAAATTGACTTAAAAAGGGTTTTTAGGTTTTAATTAGGACTCCTTCAGTTCTCTTCTTCATTTTCTTTATTTCTTACAGATAGTTATTGATATACTGTGCATATCAAATTATATGTTATTTCGATATTACACGTACGTTAGAATTTTCTTCCCTTTTACAATAAGCAATTTTTTTTTGAACATGGCAAAGGGTGAAATATCTGTTGAAAATTCTGAAGTGACTTGTTATCAGACTCAATTTGAAAGCAGGCAGAAACTAATTAAGAACACAATCCTACATTGTATGTGGCTGCATGCCAGTTGTTTCCTTTGGAATGTTTTGTGTATTTTGTAAATGATAAATTTAGTTTGTCTCAATCAATTTCACATAATTTTCCACTACTAATGGTCTTTTTTTTATTTCTCTGTGTGTCTGACTGTTTGACATATTCCTTTAACGTTAAAGATATTTTCTTTTTTTCAATCTTATATGTGAGAGAGAAAAAAAAATTGTCGGTGAATTTTTTTCCTGTCTCTGTTTTAATGTTTGAATTCCTAGCTTTTTCTTTAAGTTCATTTTTTTTGTGTCTTTCACCCCTTTTGTTTAACAACTAAGTATTTATAATCTGTATTTGTTTTGTGTAGTGGACTGTAGCAGTAACTCAGACTCTGGACCTAACTCTCCACCGGCAGGTCTCCATGCTTCAATGGTCAACGGCAGCATGACCTCCAAAGAGGTATACATACATACATATATAGTCAAACCTAGTTACTTCAAACTTGATGGGACCAAGAAAAAAACTGAGAGATAGCCATGCAAAGATCAAGATATTGAGGTTATAATATATAAAGAAAATGTGATGTGGACATCTAACTCGCTTCGACTTGTTAATGAGATGTGTCTGTTGAGCTGTATATGTATATTTTTTGCTTCAGGATTGCCCTTGTGGCAGTCAGTAGAGCGCTAATTGTGTGTAGGTAACACTTTGAAAACCTGTTGAGGTGATACAATTACATTACTTGGGGAATGTCTCCTTAACAGATCCTTGTCATTGAAGGAGAGAGTTACAGGGATTTCAAAAATGGGATCCCCCATCCCCCCCCCCCCCCCCCCCAAAGGCTTTTTAGAACAATAGTCAAGTGCAGATTCAGGTGGGGGCACTCTTGGCATATGCCCCTTCTGAAACCAAAAAAAAAGTATGGATATAGTTTTCACTCTCATACATCTATGTAATAAAGGTAAAATTATAAAATTATAAAATTACGGTTATTGACATGTTCTCTAAATTGCTGATTCTCAGGAGCATTACTTGGGCTTTGCCCCCCACCCAAGAGACACTCTTCTTGACCAATTGGGACACCATTGATACCCAGACCACTAGCCATCTAATAGAGTCGCCCTTTAACACAAATTCCTGGGTCTGCCTGATAGATGTTGGTACCCCTTTGATAAAGAACCTCGCTTAATTGACAAGAGTCAATTTATCATTTATGAATGAATATAGCTTATTCTTTATAGTTGGCAGTATTTCTGTGAGTATTCAAGAGCTTTTTAAGGAGCAATTTTATCTTGAGAGAGACACAAACCTTTGTATCTCCACTCACACTTCAAGTCCGTATGTACTGGAAATTTGTAAAGGCATACTGCTTGATGCCGCTCTGGAAAATTTTGAAAGGCTATATATAGACTGTTGTTTTAAAGTATTATACATAAGTTTCTATGTTCCGTTTATTGTAAAATTTAAGTTTTTGGTGAGATATTTACCTGCCTTCAATGAAACCAATATAAATGAATTTGCTGAAAGGAAACCAAATTTTTATTCAAAGGAATGTTTTTCCCTCAAAAATATGCATGCTGAAAATTCTTTTTTCAAATCCACAGTTCAAAAAGTAATATATGATTGTCAACATCTTACAATGTACAGGTGTTCAAGATAGATAAGATAAAAAAAAAATTAGGTTTCTTGGACAAGGAAGAGAAAAGAAGTCTGCAGAACAATTAATCTGTGTTTACACCTAGTAATGGAAAAGAATTTCACAAGTAATATCAAGTGATAAACACTTGCTACATTACTGATTGCAAAGCAAGATAGATTTACATTCTTCACATTTCATTCAAAGAGTTTTCCTGCAAAACAGATTATGAAAAAATCAGAAATTGGGAAGCCAAAAAAAAGCATTTTCTGATTAATTGGGGTAAAAAAATATGGAATGAGTCTAAGAGATGTGGAGGTATACAAGATGGCTGGCTACTCTGTGAATGCAGGGCACAGGAAGTGTATCCTTCTCTTGAATTTCCTGACTTGAGTTTGCGATGGTCGTGGAACCCGGATCTTGTGGTTGGAGGCTGTGGAATTCTTGTCGAGAAACAGGACTGTTGATGACCCTGAAGTCTGTTGGTCAACAGTCATTACAAGAATATTTTGCCGATCTAATTATGAGTATATGAATTAAAAGTGCATCCTGTTGGCACTGTCGCAATGCAAGCTGGTGTTTATAAAATAAATATAAATAGTCGTGTTGGCATGCCACCCTTTCTGCATTTGTTTTCACTCCCAAAAATCGGAAGATTAATGGGAATACAGGCTATTACACTATTACAGTTTGAAGTGAAACTAAATGATCATTATTTGATAGCGAAACATGCAGCTGTCTAAACAGCAATATGCTTAAAATACCTGACAGTAAATCCTTGGTTTAATTATCAAATAAAAGTTTTTTTTATTACGATAACTCAATGCTGACAATATGACGCCTTACTGAAATCTTGTTATTCAAGTGCAGCTTCATAGAACTTGAAATTCCAGTAGCTAGAGCTATGTGCCCTTGTTGTACTGTGTTGAAAAATACAGTTTTTGATCAATACGATACACTAACAATTTAAGAAAATGGTCGTCATTCAAGTCAAATATGTGGAATTTTACTTCAAGTGATATTTGGTTTTGCAGTTTTTAGAATTCTTGTCTAAGAATTTCTCAAAATACCCACCCCCACACTGTGAGGACGATTATAATATATTGAAATTGATAGATATGGAATTTACCCAAAGAGACCACTTAATTAAAAGCTCTACACCTAAGTTCATTTTCAGTGTAATTAAAAACCTATGACTGTAAGTGTATTGTATCTTCCCTGGTCTTAAGTTAGCAAAGAGATTTTACAGTGTACCATTAGTGGGGGGTTAAGGACTTGTACTTGTGTCTTGTTAACAAGGATTGACTTTCGGAATGAGTAAAAGTGCAATTCTCTCCCCTTGTCCGTTGATGTGTTTCTATTAATGTTTTGTCATTACTATTGCTGGAAAATGAAGATGCAATTTACAGGGTGTTTATACCAAATATCAGGCATACCATGGCAAGACAGATTATTTTTTTGGCATTTGTTGAGCGGAATTTAATTACTGTGCTAGGATAATTCTGTTTTGCAAATGTCGGCGGTGCTTATACTGCTGAATGCGGCCCTAAATAGATTCTCTGTTTGGCAGAGGGTTTTCTCTGAATTTTCTGATATAATTACAGAAATGTTTTCCCTTCAGATAAATATCAGGAGGGGTGTAAATCTCAAAAAAGAATTTTATTATTAGATGGTCCATAGAACTACTGCGTGTTTGATAGATTCTCTCTGTTCTATAGGTGTCTATTTTAGAAATGTACATTCAAGAAGATAACGAGGCTTTGGAGGCAGGAAAAAATAGTTTTTTAAGCTGGATAAAAAATGTTTCAAATGTTATTGATTGGTAACAGTCTTGGCAGCAAGAAGGAAAAAAAAGAATACAAGTTATCTTGTAAACTGGAATGTGGCTGTTGAATAAACTTTCAGAAGTTGTTGACTTCTTATCAGAGTATATCTTATGAATTTGTCGGCCAGAATATTATGGGGCAGTGTGTTTTTAATAAACAACACATTAAATATAGAAATTACACGCTGGTGTTGTATGAATCACATACTACTTGCCAAGACTGAAAAACTATTTGATAGTACAAATAAACCAGATTGTTTTGTATTTGCATGCATAAAAAAACTAGTGTTGTAAAAAATGTTATTACGGTCAAAGTGTCCATATAATAAAAAAAAAGGTTTGCAAATTAAACCTTTAAATTTTTTCCCTCCAAATCCAGTTTTCTAAACATAATCATTATTAGCACACATCCCTTTTAAATTGCAAATATGAAATATGACCTCTGAATTTGTTGACTTCATAAGGATTTTGGAGATCAGAATTTTGGACTTTCAAATTGATACAATATTTAAGTAGAACAGACTCTGATGTGTATATGAGAAACAGGTACAGTTCTAGAAATTTTTGACAATGTGAAATTTGAACACAAGTTTTATCTAATTTCAGGATGGAGGCTCATATCCCTTTTTACTGTATCGCTCCATGGGTTACCATGCCAATGATCTCTACCCATCACCCTCCATGCCCAACATATCCCTGGGACGACCGGCATCCTCATCTGTAAGTCTCTGGTCATGTTTTACAGGGATCCTGTAAGTCCCTATTTATGTTTAAAAGGGATTATTTAAGTCCTTGATCATGTTTAACAGGGATTATGTAAATCCCTGATCATGTTTTACAGGGATTCTGTAACTTCCTGTTTATGTTTTACAGGGATCCTGTAAGTCCCTGATCATGTTTAACAGGGATTATGTAAGTTGCTGGTCATGTTTTACAGGGATTCTGTAAGTTGCTGGTCATGTTTTACAGGGGTCCTGGTCATGTTTAGCAGGGATTATGTAAGTCCCTGGTCATGTTTTACAGGATCCTGTAAGTCCCTGATCATGTTTTACAGGGATCCTGTAAGTCCCCAGTCATGTTTCACAGGGATTATGTAAGTCCCTGCTCATGTTTTACAGGGATCCTGCAGGTCCCTGGTCATGTTTGACAGGGATTTTGTAAATCCCTGCTCATGTTTTATAGGGATTATGTAAGTCCCTGCTCATGTTTTACAGGGATCCTGTAAGTTTCTGGTCATGTTTGAGATTCTGTAAGTCTCTGGTCATGTTTTACAGGGATTATGTAAGTCCCTGCTCATGTTTTACAGGGATTATGTAAGTGATGTGTTACAGGGATTCTGTAAGTCTCTGCTCATGTGTTACAGGGATTCTGTAAGTCCCAGCTCATGTTTAACAGGGATTCTGTAAGACAGGGATTTTTTAAGTTCCTGGTCATGTTTTACAGGAATTTCACTTTTTTGGGGGGGGGGGGGGGGGTCCCTAGGAGTGTAAAAACTTTTTCTGAACTCATCCCTGAAGTACAATTTTTTTCAAATTCAGACACTATTTGCTAAAAAATAATACTGCAACACATTTGCATTCGACATCAGCATCTGATATTTATTATGAATTTCAAGGGGTATTCTTGTTGTTAGTATGATATTTTCTATTTGCTCAGTGTGAAATTGTGTATCATGACCCTCAAGCAGAAATAATGTATGTACATATACTATGATTTAATATCTCTCCTTTTTGAAATAAAGTATATGTTACTACATAATTTCTTTCCTTTTTGCGCAGGGTAATTCTAGTTCCCCCGAGGCAGACCTTCGCAGTCTTAGTCATTCTCGACATGGACTGCCAGCTCACATGGCTGGCTACCCACTTTACCCAATCACAGGTATGTTTATATGTTGAGCTTCTAGACTATTCTTGATTAACTAATAAAAACCAATAACAGTCAGCAGAAAATTGCTTTCTGAACAGTAAAAACTGTTATAATAACCTTTGCTTATTATGAAGTCATGTGTATATGATGAATTCATGCTTCATCACAAAGTACTAAAATTTTAATATGAAATATTAAATTGTTATAAGTAAAGGAATTGCTGCTACAGGGTTGTGGTTAACTTTTGAAACCTTAGGGGCCATGTGGGCTCCTAACTTTTCAAATTTTACGGGCCCACAATGTGATCCACGGGCCCACATTATATGTAAATTAAAAATAAGAACACAAAAATCCTATTTTTTTTTTCATAGTATCTATATGTTCGCAGAATATGGATTTTTGTCACGTTTTCTCTTTTCTAAAAACTTTGATCCGATAATATGTTCATTACATTTTGTAGTATTTAACCTTAACTTATTATACAACTGAAGCGTCTATGGTTTAACAAGGGGCATATTAAATACTAAATTACAACCTGTGATTAAGTTTGATCCCGATCTTTTATTGTGTGCATTTGACAAGGTAATTCAAATTCCATCAGTGAATAACTAGTCGAATGGCGAGTGTGGCAACCATAGCCGATTGTTACAATATTTCTATTAGAACAATCTCAAACATTTGCTCTCGTTTCATCAGATTTAACAGAGAATTAACAGCTTCGATAAATCGCCATTTTTGATCTCAGTCACGTACATGTTTGAGTAATATGCTTGTACGCAACACAAATAATCTAAGTTAGTAGAGCGTTTTCTTAAAAAACTGAAAGTACATAAAATAAAACTGAAATCTGATTATGTTCCGGTAAAAAAATTGTTCGCCATGTGGGCGACCAGATTTTTAATATCTAGTCGCCCACCACAAATTTTACTCGCATTTGCGAGTGGGCGAGTGGTTATCCACAACCCTGTGCTATGTTCAAGCAATTTAAGTTGTAAGTTAAGTTGAAACTTTAAGTTCACTTATACCTGTGTTTTGCTGTGAATTATCTATGTAATAATCTATCAGTCTTACTGTATTACTCTCCTTCTGATGAAAAGAGCAACAATTAACAAAATGTATTATTACATTCACAGGGCATGAAGGTGATCTCAACCACCCCTCCAATCCGGCCCTACTCTCGGCCCAGATCAAGGCCCTAGAGGAGGCCCGTAACCAAGCCAAACTGGGTCAGTCCCTCCCTTACTCCTCCCTACAAGCCATGCCTGGCAGCGCAGCCTCTGAAGCTCGTCACGCCAGGATTCATGGGTAAGATTTAATGGAAGTTTTCTGAGAAGTCCTTTCTTATAAGGATATAATGCATTGCTGACATAATATCTTTCCTATTTTAAATATTTCGCAATATTAAATAAATGATTTGAACTAAGCCTGTCAAGTTTCATAGAGGTATTATTGACCCCACGATTTCTTCAATATAGGCGTCACAAGCCTCTAAATAGAACCCACTCAGCTCCACTTCCCATCGGCCACCCTTTCCTACAACAAACCTATCTGCAGATGCACCAGCAGGCAGCGGCAGCTGCTGCAGCAACAGGGGACCATGGCAACATGTCGTCAGAGCAACTGATGAAGGATAAAATGTTTGTCAAGCAGCACATTCGACAAGCAGTCTTACAGAGGGTCGGAAGTAAGTCACACATGGAAAATGTGGACGAAGAAACGGAGGCCAGACTAGCACAGGTAAAGGGAAAGTTTGAGGATATAAATAAAAAATTGAGAATATTGGGAGAAAAGAGTTTAAGAAAAAGATCAGCCAGACATAATGATTACCCCTTTTGGAAAATTAATGAAATCTTACAAGATTTTTAAAAGGACAGTAGCATTTGGGTTAATTTAAATCAATGTTTTATTTGTAGTTTGAGAAAACTTAAGTCATATCTGTGCCTTTTGTATACCCAGGTATTCTGCTTATAACTGATCATCTTTCGTAAATATTGCAGGAGATGCGCGAGTCTCGTGAGCAGATGAACGAGGAAATGCGAGAACGAGAAAAAATGGATGAATCCTATATGGAGGAGAAAGATATGCAGCTGTCCGTGAAACCTCGTCACAAAGGCCCCTCCCACCACAGGCCCCTGGCCCGCACACAGTCTAGTCCATTAGTATTGTCCATCCCACCCCCAGAACCACAAGAAACACAACCCATCTCATACAGATATACCACAGGTAGGGCTTTTGTCAAGAGTGTCAAAATTATTTTATTAACATGCTGCTCCTTTTTATTTGATTTAAATGAAGCTGTATTTTTATTTGAAGTGAAAATTTAAAGTTTAAAAGACCAAGTTAGTAGAGCTACAGTCTCAGCAGAGACTTTAAGTTTGTCAACCTCTGTCACTTTGGCGGGAAATAACTTTGCTTCCTGGACTCCTCTGCATAGATATAAGAAGAATATATTATTGTAAAATGTAATGAAACACATCTTATATTGTTTTTTCACATCTTAATACAGGACTGAAAGAAAAAGCACACTGTTCTTGTTTTTAACAAACTTTCAGTGTTGAGGTTATATAATCTGAAACTTGTTTTTGTAGGTATTGCATATGATTCAATCATGCAGAAACATCAGTGTATGTGTGGAAATAACGCCAACCATCCAGAAAATGCTGGTCGATTACAGAGTATCTGGTCACGTGTGCAAGAGACTGGCCTCATCAACCGGTGCGAGGTTTGTATCCCAGGATAATTACTGTAAAATAGATATCCTCTGACCAAGTGTCTGTATCCCAGGATAATTACTGTAAAATAGATATCCACTGAGCAAGTATCTGTATCCCAGGATAATTACTGTAAAATAGATATCCTCTGACCATGTGTCTGTATCCCAGGATAATTATTCTTATAATTAATGTGCAATGTAATATAGAATCTGCTCGTAAAATTTCCCAGTGCAGGAATTGCTGATCTTATCACCTTCAGATTTTCAATTTGATCAATTATTACACCAAATCAAACAAAGATCCATTGCTACTTCAAATTTATGTGTATTTAGTTTAAAGAAAGTATTTTTTCTTTCAGAAAATCAAAAGTCGGCGTGCGACGATTGAGGAACTTCAAAGTTGTCACTCAGAACTTCACACTTTACTTTATGGCACAAACCCCATGCATCGACACCGACTACTTGGTAAGCTTTTTCAATATTTGGTTTAAACATTCTTTTGTGTTTTTCCCAATTTCAATTAATTATATTTGGCTTTGCCCTTTCACACTTGCAGTCAATTTTAAATTTGCCCAGACATAGATGTGTTAAAAATAAATTTGAGATAAATCTGACTATGTTGAATTTTCTCCATTTTGAATTTGTCCACTGAGGATCATGGGCAAAAGTTGAAAATAAAACAGGTGAAAATTAACCTGTATAGAGTATGTACAGTTCTACAAACCAAATTTTATAGTAGATGGATTTCAGACTGACAAATTGCTAATAAAGTTGTCACAAATAATAGTTGGTTTACAGTATATTGCATTTTGTATTACTTTTACAAGTCGACGAAACTTAAGCAACATTGTGAAAGTTGAACAACCTGAATTTCTGAAAAGCAATATCATTTTGTAAAATTTTTTCTCATGTTTTTTTTGGGGTTCATTTTAATATTTCTTTGAAAGTTATTTTAAAAGTTGCATTTACTATGTAAACAAGTGCCATTGTAAATTTTCTCTGATCAAGAATAGGGGCTAAAATTGCTAAAAATGACGCCAGAACAAAACCTTCCAGTACATATTGCTCACAGTTATTCTTGTCAATGTATAATCAATCAACTGCATTATACAATCCTTGTGTCTTTCTGGTAACCCAGTGCTGTTTTCTTTTCCAGATCACATTCAGTTTTGTATGCTGCCCTGTGGGGGTATAGGTGTTGACTCGGACACAGTCTGGAATGAAATGCACACATACACAGCATCAAGAATGGTAACTTAATTTTTGCCCACGGATCATATAGATACTTAAAAACATAAAGATTTTAAGTCATTTTGATAATTTATGTGGTACAGATAGGAATTAATATCTCTTAGACATTCCCTGCTAAAGTTGTGTTATCATCTTGATTTTCCAGGCTGCAGGGTGTGTTACAGAATTGGCAACAAGAGTTGCCAATAAAGAACTGAAGGTATATACATATTACGTAATACAGCTGATCTGATAATCTCCAGTGTCTGATAAGTTTTCTCGGAGTCTAGCAAATCTGATTTTTGGTCTGTAAATCTCTTTTTTTTTAAATTTAACTTTTAATTTGTCCGATTATATATGTACTAATTGTGATATTTTTTTGTGTTCCAGAACGGTTTTGCTATTGTGAGGCCCCCGGGTCACCATGCGGAACACAACCAACCAATGTAAGTTTGATTCTCAGATTATTTTTCAGTGGATAATGTGAGCAAAGGGAAATAACTCTATTTATAATTTCTTTATGGATTCTTTGTGTGTTAAATGTAATCATCAGTTTCTTCTCTTTTTTTTTTTTTTTTTTTTTTTTTTTTGTGTTTTCAAATTACTCCATGGAATATTTATATATTTGTATTGTCCATTACAAATACTGGCTTAGCTTCTGTGAATAAGTTCATTCAAAACCCTTAATATAATTTTTTTATATATCTTGCATACAAATTGAAATGGTAATAATCATATGAAAAAAAAACAAAACTTTTGTTATGAAGCTGCCATTTTTGTCTTTTTTTTGTAGGGGATTTTGTTACTTCAATTCCGTTGCCATCGCAGCAAAACAGTTGAGAGAAAAATCAAAAGTGAACAAAGTTCTTATTGTGGACTGGGATGTTCATCATGGAAACTCCACCCAGCAAAACTTTTACAATGACCCAAATGTGTTGTACATATCTATACACCGCCATGACAGTGGGAACTTTTTCCCTGGGACTGGCTCACCCACAGATTGTGGAGCTAATGAGGGGATGGGATTCAATGTCAACATTGGGTTTGGTGGTTCACTCTCACCGCCAATGGGAGATGCTGAATACTTGGCTGCCTTTAGGTAGGATTGGGTTCATGTTTTTAAGATGTTGAGAAGAGGGATTGGAAACATATGCAAATATGGATTAAAATAACAAAGTAAAATAAGAAATGAAAACATGTACTTTTTAATGATTTTTTTTAGCACTTTTAATAGATAATTTCCATTTTATTATTAAATGACAATTTTAATTTCAGGAATTATTCCTTTTAATATGACTAGATCTTATTATATTGTTATAAAAATTGTGTGGATTTTATTAATTTGATTTATACATTGTATATATATTTTTGCAGAACTATTCTGATGCCTATTGCTAAGGAATTTAGTCCAGATATTGTTCTAATTTCGGCTGGATTTGACGCCGCCGTTGGACACCCGCCACCTCTGGGAGGCTACAATGTCTCAGCAGCATGTAAGTGTCCCTAGATATATATAAACAGAGAGAGAGAGAGAGAGAGAGATTAAACACTAGGAAGAGTGTTAAGATGAGTGCTAAAGTTGTCCTTACATTTTGTACTGCGAAGCGTTTTAATGTGAAAGTTTGAACTTTTACACCATGAATTTAAAATAATTTCAAACAAGATTTTGAAAAAATAGTACATGTATCTTGAATTTTTCCATGTGAAGTATGTATTAAAGTAATACTTCCAGATAGTACTTGAAAAGGGAAAGGAAAGCTTAAATTACAATACTTCATGCTCTTTCAACACAATTATCTGCTGATTTTTAGAATTTGCTATATACATCCATATATAAGGAGACACCAATAGATTTATTGTTTTTTCAGGTTTCGGTCACATGACACGTGAATTGATGTCTTTGGCAGATGGCAAGCTGGTGCTGGCATTAGAGGGCGGCTACCATCTGCCAGCTATCTGTGATGCTACAGAACTTTGTATCAAAGCTCTTCTCGGAGATGAGGTACAAATAGAATTATGTTAAAAGTTGTTTTCATTGTTTGAAGGTTGAACTAGAGCAAAGTAAAGAATAATTTCTTTTATTCTAAAACTAAAGTTCAGGGCATTTGAACATGCATAGTTAAGCTTTAAGAGATAACAAGTTTTTTTTTTTTGAAAGTTATTGTTAAAAAAAAAAATAATCAATTTTCACTAGCTCCCACCGGTGAAAGAAGAAGAGCTGTGCCGTGCCCCATGTAAACCTGGGCTAGAAACACTTGAAGAAACCATTAAAATACAGGGTAAGTTATGAATCACAAAAAAATTTACCTGATCACTATTATGTATTTAACCTCAACTTGTAATATGGACTGATTTTATCTAATATTTTTTTAATAACAGCAAAGCACTGGCGCTGTGTTCAGAGGTATTTAGGGACCATTCATTATTCACTGATGGAGGCACAAAAGAGGGAAATGGAGGAAGCTGATACAGTATCGGCCCTGGCTTCCCTATCAATGGTGGCCGCCAAACAAAGGTAATAGAAGTTTTTATATGATTTAAGGAGGATTTATGGTTCCTTGTAAATACTGTAGAAGTACTTTTTCTGTGAGGTATTAATTAAGGTTATGTCTAAAACTTTCCACAGAAGTTAGTTCTTGCATACTTGAAGTTCATTTAAGGCATGTAGTGGCAATTGAAGAAATCTGCGTAATTTTATACCTGTGGATTGAGTAGACATTGTGATTCTGCGGAATTTTGACCTTGTGGGAAAAAGTACCTTTGCAGTACATTTGAAGTTCAGTATTGCACATCCTACATTTATCTTGGGGCTTTACCAGTAACTGTGAACCAATTATTATTTGTGACACCTTTAATTTGCTATTTGTCACTTTGAAATCAATCTGTGAGAGCTAATGCTCACCATTGAGGAATTGTTCTACATAAGTACGTAATGAAATAAATAGTTGGCGGCAAGAAATATTTGCGAATTATAAATGGCCGCAAATTTCACAAATATTTCTCTCACACGAATAATAATTGGTTTACAGTATTTCAGAAATGGCAACGTTAATTCAGATCTGTAAATAACAATTTTGTTCTATTTATAGCAGTATGTCTGAGGAGTCTTCTGAACCAATGGAAGAGGATAAGTCATAACCCCTACAAACTGTCACCATGGAAACAAGCAAACGTAAACTCAAGCATACAGCTGATTTGAGACTGTTGCCGCTATGTTGTGAATTCATTCATAACTCTCCTTGTCGCTGTAAACAGACCCATCAGCGTAGGTCGTCTGTTTTGATGTTTCCCGATGCCCGAGCCCGCTGAGAGGGCCCAAAGGCTGAGGGGACGTAGGAAGTTTTGGACCCAAAGGATGTACAAAGCCTTAAATATGTACACGTATTGGACAGAAGTCAAGAGAACAAGTGATCGGTCAAGAATACCTTGGAATATTATTTGATTCAGAAAGATACAGAGAGATTGTATAAAAGAAAAGTACATTTTTGACAATTCTGTAGTGTTGAGAACTATTTATGAATATATTTATATACGATTATATATTATAAATATCTGTGTATAGGATTTAAGAAATTGTTTCAGAACTTTTTTTTGTGATCTAGATGTTTGCAGATAGACTTCAATGTCAGTAAATTAGGACCTGTGATATACAGAAGGAAATATTTGAGGATTTAAAGCAGGTGTATTTATTGTTGGTAAATATTTGTTATTATACAGGTGTAAAAAAAAAATATAGTCATAAATTGACTATTTTTGTCTTGTCCTTTGCAGCAGAATGTATATTTTTACTTGTTGTCAATTATTTCTGTCAAATATTTGAATAAAGATAAATATTTTGCAATGGTATCAAATTTTTTCTTGATTTTTACTTCATTTTAGAATTTATCTGTAGCATGACATATCTTTTTATAAACTATTAATCATATGCATGTTTTTTTTAAGGAGCAATTTTTTTGGTATTGGACCCTTAAAGTCCAAAATATTTTTCAACAGAGTAAATCTGGAAGAAACATTAAGGTTGAATTTTGACCTTTAGATTTGTCCAGTGCCTGAGGCATTGAAAGCAATCAAATTTTGATATTTTTCAACATTTTTTTTAAAAACGGTCTTTGTCCACTTGTGGTCAATTGATTGATCACACTGAAAAGGGAATGTAAAATTTATACCCAGCGCTATTAGAGTTTGATTGGCTCTATAAAAACATTTGTTGTACATTTCTCACAATTCATAATGGTAATGATGAAAAAAAATCTATTTTTGTTGCTACCAAGTCTGATATAACCTATCAGATCCATTGTTTATAAAGTATTTTAACATTTGTATTCATTTTGACCAATCAGATCTGGTGTAGCAAGTGCTGGGAGTATATTTTTTTTTGTCCAATCAGATTTGGTTTTATGTCTGTATTTGTTGTTAAGCCTTGTGATACTCCATACTATTGTTATTGTGAGCAGCAATATTACTGGTTCTGTCAGATGGTAGTCATGACGCTTTACTGTACTTGTTATTAACAATAAATGAGCAAATCAATGGATATATCTTTTTTTCTCTCTCTTAGTACGTCTCTTATTGAGTGAAAAATTCTTTAATGGGACTTTCAACAACAAGCAGAAATATTGCCGAAAATATCCAATTCACGTCGTATAACAACACCTCAGATATTTTTTTCAATGTTACAGCCAGGACATGGGATTCCGTCTTCGATTTGTAGCAACGGCCCATAAAATGTGGACAAATTTTATTTTATTGATGAATCTGACCCAAGTTGAAGCAATATCTCCTAAAACCAGATTTTACTTCAGAATTGTCATCTTCATACAAGAAGAACAAAGTATATAGTGTTAATATTCTTCATTTTGGTTGATTTCAGTAACACTGCCTACACAAATAAATTACACTAAGAGAATATTCTTCTTAGTGTAAGGTGTTGCCACGGTTACAGAAGGAATAAGTGTGAATATAACGAACAGTGATCGATCTCAAAAAACCTACAAACAACACAAATCTATGAATAGGGCATAAAAGATTCCAGAGATAGGATCAGGTACATAGCAGGAGTAAACATCCCCTGTCGACCGGACACACTCGCCGTGAGCCCTATGTATAAATCAAGTAGACGGAGTAGTCCGTACTCAAATTTAGTATAAAAAAAGAAAGGCTTACCAATTGGTCTGAAATATGTCAGTCAAGTAAAACACGACCACAAGATATGTTGTATTTGCTAATAAGGTCATTATAACGACCATAGAATTTACGGAATATTGACTTTAAACGAAATAGTTGAAATCCCTGTGACATCAACCTATTTGTGAGCAGCTTGCATCGGTTTAAGAAATTGATCGTACTCAGAGCATGCTCTTGACAATCGAATAAGTTGGGAGACATAAACATTACAAGCAGATGATAGAGGAATATTACTAAATGACGATGGAAAAACTGAAGTCATCTCGCTTCTCATACAGTTTTGTAGTTAATTGGTTTTTATAGTCTATAGTCAGTAAAACACCCAAATATGAAACAGATGTGGCAGACTCTGTGATGTCTTTGTATTTTCGGGTTCACTGGGACATATCTAGTCGACATATGAATGGAAGTAACTATTTTTATTGCATGATAAAACGTCGTCAATATATCTAAATGCCTAGTTGAAGGTCATGGCAAGTGTTTTCTTCTTTTCATGTAGAAGTTTTTGAATAAATTAATTCTTCTTCACATGAATAAAAAAAAACAGGTCGTCTTATAAAGAAGGACTAAAAGTGTCCATCGGAATTCCAACAGATTGTTAGAAGACGCCGTCTCCAAAAAGTGCATAGATACGGAATGATATATGGTTCGCATATTACTTTTTAACTTTCTAATAGGATTTTTAAATATATTTCTGAAACATTTAATCCGTTCTGACAAAGTGTTTAGGTCTTGCTCCTCAGATTTTGCCCATCTTCTGGCATAATCCTCGATAAAATTCATAATAGAAATGAAGTTCTGTCGCCAATTTAAGATAGGGGCTCCCTATCTGTATTTAGGACCTTTTAAAATGATTTTCTTATAAGTCGTCTTTTTCAACTACATGTATGTTTACTTCACCAGTAATTATGTGTCCAGCGGATCTATCCTTGAAAGGAGAGGAAGAGCCCCAAAAAAGTAAGAGAATTTTGTTTAAGACGTTCAATATCTAGGCATTGTAAGGTTCGTTTATAATTGAAATGTTTGGAAGCAACAGTTGGGGAATATTTGTAGGAAATGCAGGGTGTAGAAATATAGGGTCTTGAAATATAGCGGAATTCAAGACTGAACATTTTTATGACTAAGAATATTACTTACGTTCACAGCATCTATTCCTTTTTTGGCAAATATAAGGTTAAGGAACCGACGGATTGAATCAGAATTATCCTCCGACACACGTGATGGCTTAAGGGCGTTCTTGTTAGATATATTGTGTATAAAAATTATGAATTTTTCAGAAAATAAAGAAGGCAATATCACTAAGTGATGTTATCATTTCAGTTAAATGACCGACTTATTTAAATAGCAAGGTCAGATCAAAGCAGGCAAGAATGACCCCTCCTTTGAACCTATACTGGGCAACAGGCACAATCACAAGCATTATAGCTCGAAAATAGTTCTGTGAAATTCTTTCAAAGTGCTACCCTCTTACCCTCTTACAGTTTTAGTTTAATTCAATAAAACTCAATAAAATTGTCAACTATGTTAAGATACGGATTTGGACGGTTTGAATAAATCTTGTACCAGTGAAATGAAGAAATTTTTTTTTCTTAAATATCTATATGTATGTATTAATTTTCGTTGTTTTCATGGTACATGTATGAAGAGATCCATAAATCCATGTCCTCCATTAAAAGTTTAAATTTCAAACTACAGTACATGTATCGTTTTTGTTTAGAAACTACGAAGTCTAAACCCAACGAACCAATATTTCCCCCCAAACCTCGAAAAGATAAGTTAATGTACAGTATTTTACAGTATACATAAATCTGATAAAGCTTTCTTCCTAGGCTATTATGAATTCTAACTACTAGGCATCTAATCACACAGTGGCGGATCCAGGAATCTTGAAAGGGGGGGGGGGGGCGACCAGTTTGGGGTCGGGGTAGGGGCCCACGGCCACACCAAAAAAATTGATTTATTGAATCTTTTGTATATTTTGGACACAAAAAGAGGGGAGGGGGGGGGCTGAGCCCCCCCCCCCCCCACTAAATCCGCCAATGTCACATCATTCACAAGACTTAAAAAATTACACCTAGTTAGAGTAAAGCAAAACGTTTTCCCGACCACTAGAATATGTTAAAATTTTTAAAATAGGTGATACATAATTTAAAAAGTTTAGAATACGTTACCTAAGAGTTATCGTTCATTTTACTCACAACTCGACAAATAACATGCATGAAATATATGGAGATAACGAACAGTATTCAAGCTCACGTAGTATACACTGAAATAAATTGGAAATTTTCCTTGCATTGAAATTTCTGTCAAAACTAAGAAATTGTATCTGTTTGTATGTATGTCTTTTCGATTATTTTTATATTTTTCTGTCATTCTATCTGTTTGTATGACTATCTATCTGTTTGTATGACTCCGTTTGCATGTCTTTCTGTCTATTTATATCCGCCTGTCTTTCTGTCTATTTGTATGTCTTTCTGTCTATTTATATCTGCCTGTCTTTCTGTCTATTTGCATGTCTTTCTGTCTATTTATATCCGCCTGTCTTTCTGTTTATTTGTATGTCTTTCTGTCTATTTATATTTTTCTGTTTGTCTAATTGTATGACTAGTTTTCTTTTGTCTAATTGTATGCTTTTTGTCTATGTCTTTCTGCCTATTTTTGTATTTCTTTCATTCGATCTTTTTTCATACTAATACAAAATACAAATACAAAATCCATAAATTTTTTTGGATGGATCTAGTTCAATAATTTCGGATGCAAGAATTGCTATTGATTTACATCTTGCATTAACTTAATGACACTAATCAGAAGTTATTATCCCAGACAGAATACTAAATCATGAAAAGAAGGTAAAATACAGTCGAAATCCTTGCATGCAAAACTATATAATAAATTTTTCTTATTTAGGAACTTTAGAGGCACTGTAGAAGTATATTTTCCGCCGATGTATTAATTTACGCTAAGTACACGAAAATATGCCCCATTGATACATAGAGTACAATTGAGGAATATGGTGGCAATCGAAGAAATCCGCGTAATCCTGCGGATTGAACAGAAATTGTGATGCCGCGGAATTTTGACCCCCTTGGAAAAAAGTAAACGGAGGAATTGTTCTGGAGGTATATGTAGAATACTTTTTTTTAATTACCGAAACAATGTATATTCAGTGACATCTTCACAACGTCAAGGGTCCTGAGTCAACACGTTGCCGTTGGACGACAACGTGTTGACTCAGGACCCTTGACGTTGTGAGGATGATTCAGTGATCGCAACAAAAAAAAAATCATTTTTCTAAATAAATTGATCAGTAACCTGTCAATGATCTTTTTAAAGGTTTCATGAATTTGGGTTTAAATGCCACTCTCAAGATAATATCCTGCTTTATCCCCATCTTTGCCATTGTTTTACATCACATATAGATGATTAAGTCTGATGTCCAATTAAAATAACTGAATGATTTCCAATCAAATGTTTATATACAGCACGGTATTCCTCCAAAACTTCTACAGCAGTGGGGCGTTGTTGAGGGTCTTTGTTTTTGCACCGACTGTGAATGTCTTTTAGGTGTGGCAAAATTTTGATTTTCAGGGGCATGTAATGGAGAAAACTTTTACAAACATCAGGGATTTTCCAAATGTCGATTTTTTCGTCATACGGAGGCATCCTTGATATATTGAAAGGTTCCTGTCCGTACGGCCAATGCTGTTCAGGAGCGTTAAAAGGCACTGAGTAATTCCGACTTTCAACAGGACAAACCTTCTTCTTAGTAACACCATTGAGTATTTCAAAATCGACAAGTGCATCAACATCACTGATCACTAGTCGAAAATCGTCTGTGAGAAGATATTGCCATCGAAGAATACTTACTGCATTACCATCACAGTGAGCGTAAACTTTCCCGCCCAGACCAGAATGAAGAAGAAGCATAATGTATATAAAGTCAAGACACAATTGAAATCTCGTCGAAACATTATCAAAGTCTCTGTAGATCTGCAAATGTTTTTCAAGGTTATTAGCATCCGCCAGTGCATGGAATTCTGTCACCATGACGTTGTTGCAATAGCCCACAAGCTGTAGAACCTCTGAATGATTTGAAAAGTCTTTCAGAATTTGTAAACCGTGTTTAAACTCTTCATGGGCTCTCTTGCCAACATGGTAGTTTCGCAGTTTCTTGACAACCACATCATGTCCTTCCCATTTGGAAATTCGAACCTAAATAATAGAGTGAAGAAATTATTTTGATTTGGGGGCTTGTTCTTTGATTAATCTTGAAGATTGATTGGGTTGAATTGAAACATTTGAAAATTAAAGTTAAATACATATACTAGTAGAATTATCAGCTAAACCCCTCGCTGAAAGAATCAACAATTGAGAAATACAGTCGAACTTTGTTATCCTCTACTTGATGGGACCGAAAAAAAAATTCGAGATTTCAAAGGACTCGAGATATCCAGGGTAAAATAATTAAGGAAAAAGTGGTTGGGACTTCCAAATCACTTCGAGATACCCATGGAATTCGAGATATCGAGGCATGTGCAGGAAGATTTTTTTTCTGAAAAGAAAGTGAAATAAATCACAGAAACGTTGTCCTGTTTAACTTACTGTAAAAGTAGTTAAATTGAAGGGTTGAAAGTTTGACGATTTCGGTACATTATAAAAATGGCGAGTGGTAACTTTGACAATCTACTAGTATTTAAACGTACTCTTCAACTGGAACGTGAAAGTTGATGAGTGAAAATTTTGACGATTATTAGAAATTCGTTAATTTCGTCAACGTTTCCACTTCGTCAGTTTCCACTTTTACATTAAAATATGAAGATAACGAACAGTAATCAAGCTTAAAAGTCCATTGAAACAATACAGATTGGGAGCGAATCAAACATGGACCTCTTAAAACATCAGAGGTGGGATCAGGTGCAATGGCGGAGTAGCATTCCCTGTCGACCGGTCACACACCCACCGTGTGCTCCTTGTCAGGATCGGGCAAACAGAAAAATCCGTAGACAATTCAGTGTGAAAATAACGGCCGAATAATGTGTATTAAAATGCTAGTCAATATTCGACTTTACGAAAGATGTTGACTTTTAACGAGACTGTTGATATTCTTGTTTCATCAACTTATTTGTCAATAGTTTGCTTCGTTTTAGACATTATTCGTACGTAGATCGTGCTCTTTCGTATCATATCAATTGGGAGACATAAACTCCAACTGCAGGTGGTAATGGTACCCTTTGCAAAGCTAAGTTTGTAATATCTCCTGATACAAAAGGAGTCGTTTTCTAAATAATCGTCTTATTGCCGGATGGCTGAATCATGTATCCTTTTTTTTCTTGATTTATTTGGTTCCTTTATTAAGACACCAAATAAACTAAATAATGTTGCTTTTATATATGGATGATGTGATATTTCTATTGAAATAATTTGGTGACTGATATCTGTATGAAATTCCATCGTCTTTACAACCACACTCGGAAAGCTATAATAGTACATTTATTTTTAATTTCGATAGTACATGTGATATTAATGATAAGTAAATGGAATCGTAAATATCTTTTCTTGTCTAGTTTTTGCTGTTGTTTTTGTTTGTTTTATTTAAGAAGAAAGTAAGAAGAGCTTGGCTGATCACTAAACAAAAACCACGACCACTTAAGGACGCTCTTTACACTCCACCCCAATTTCAGGGTACTTTTGTCCAGTTAGACCATTTGACATAACATAGAATAAATTGTAATCAACATTGTATGACATAATTTAAAATAAATCCAAGTATTCTAAACATTGTATTAGACCAAGATAGAGAAGCTGAAAACTTTATTTGCATGTACTTTCTTCATTTGAATAAGCAAAAGTGATTTTCTTTATCATTATTTCTATGTCTTTGATGAAGATTTTTTCTTGATAAAAAAGGCACATTCTCAAAATAAAACAATGAATTATTTAATTTCAAAATGTCCTCCTTTGTACCATATATTTTCTCGAAGTCCAAAAACATTTTTCATCAGTGTAAAGAGGGTCCTTAAAACCTAGTCTTCGATAAAGCGGAAATAAAAATAAACATTTCAATTAGACTAAACCTAATTATAAACAAACCCAAATAAAAAAAAAACTCAAACAATTACCGGTAAAAATCTATATTTTCATCTGAAAACAAGAGAGGATAGATAGTTATTAGGAATGTATTTAAAATATTGTACCTCTTTTATAGACCCTGAAGTACTTGACGGTATTTTTTCCGAGCCATTTATGTTCATAAGTCCTTCACAATCTAGCCATGGATGACAAGTTTCCATTCCGTACAGTCCGAAATATCCGTGTCCACACACTGGTTTACATTTTGTTCGATTGTCTACTACACTCCAAACACATTTTAAAATGGGCGCATGCGTACTCTCCGTTGTTGTATTGAAAGTTAAGTTTCGTGATTCATAAGTACTGGGAATGAGATAAAGCTTGAAAACAGCCAAAACAACGCATGCGCATAAATATCCAATGAACCAAAACAGGTACAGGAACTTTGGAGGATCTGCAAAAGTTCTCCAAAAAGTTAATATGCTGTTTTAATCTAATCCATTAGAAAGTAACTTAAGAATTTGACATTTAAAAGAAAATTATCATTATTTAGATGGAAAGTTTGATACATGTATGAATTAAGGCATTTATCATCATATACCGGTAATTCTAGAAAAAAAGAAAGCATCATTGTACTTTATTTAGTACCTTTAAACGCGTATAGGGAACATGCATGTTCCTCCGTATATTGTACATAGCAAAGTTTATCTTTAAAGAAACCATTCGAAGGAACAGTGCCAGCAACAACTTGAATTTTTTTGTACTCACTCTTTTTGAATGTGACACCTCTCATTTTGTCCAATGTGTAAAATTGTTTACATATATTTCTACGTTTTGTTCTTCTACTATCGTGTAATACACCTTATGAATATGTGCATACTAAAGTATCTACACACCATAGAACAGGGGACGATGCTCCATCTATATATGTATTATTAAATAACATCTTCATTAGCATATACCCCTGCATAAATTTTCTTTTAAAGTCCAACCTACATAATCCAACTAAACCTGACAGGTCTTTGAATACAAATTATCTATACTCACAGCTCAACTTGTTTTCTGGTTCATAACAAAAATGAGACACAGAGACAATGTTATCCTCACAAATTCCTTATTTGAAAAGGCTTCCACAAATGTATTATTATTTTGTAATTTTCGAGGTCCATGGATGGGTGGTAAGTAATATATACAAATAGGAAGAGCGACAGGAAAAAAAACAAATAGGCAGAAAGACATACAAACAAACAGAAGAACAAAAACATACAAATAGACGGAAAGATATACAAACAGATAGAAGGACAGAAAATTTGAATAGACAAAGAAACATAGACATACAATAGACACTTCAAACATAGACAATAGAAAACGGAGAGACATACAAACAAACAGAAAGACATACAAAGAGACAGAAAAACAGAAAACCCGAAAAAAGAGAGAAAGTCGTACAAACAGTCGGGGAGACAAACATACAGACTGATTGATTGATTATATGTTGTTTTACGTCCCATTCGAGAATTTTTCTTTCAGATAGAGACGTCCAAACATACAGAAGGACAGACAGAAGAACTTGAAATACGAATAGAGTACAGAAAGACATAGAACTAGACAGGACCGAAATATATCAATAGACAGAAAGACATAAAAACAGACAGAAAGTCATACAAACAGACTAAAAGACATATGAATAGACAGAAGGACTTAACGTACGAATAGACAGAAAGACATAGAACCAGACAGGACCGAAGTATATCAATAGACAGAAACAAAAAGACAGAAGCACATACAAACAGATACAATTCCTTTGATGGATTTGACAGGAATTTCTATGTGAGAATTCAGTGGATACTTCATGCATATTATTTGCCGAGTTGTGAGTAAAAGGAGAAAGGAGAAAAAAGTTATTAAATTCTGCATCACTTATGAAATTTAAACGTATCCTATGTATCTCTACTGGTGGACAGTCTGTCTCCGAGGATACTTGTCGTTCGGTACCAATTCATTCATGAGTTCACAGAATAACGAAATGATACTGGCAGACGTGTCGCCCAGTATAAAAAGGCATCACTCTTTTGAGTCTATAAGGGACACAGTCTCAAAGAGTTCAATGGTGCCCCTTGGATAATCCTCAGGGATATTAAACATATGTCATATGTACAGTCTTCAGATTTCCAGCATTGGTATAAAACCAATAATTCATACAAGAAATTGAAAGAATGTAAAGATGTAAAGTTTCTATTAGAGAAATATTTGAAGATTCTTTTCCCATCCCATGTCTTCTAGTTCTAGATATTCTGTAAAAATCTGTGACCTGTGACGTTTTGATTACTAACACTTCTTTTACTAGTAATCTTACTGACAGAGCTTCCATACCAAAACTTGGGAAGATCTGAACTGCAAATAGAATGAAATCTTTGTGGACTTATTAATGTTGGTGAAACCAAGGGGTCTCTTGATAAAAGAATATTGTATCTGGAAATAGATTTCAAATTAACAATGGGGGCCAGCAGCTTCTATACAAACACTTTAATTAACCTGATCATTCTATTTCATCAATGAAAGTTAGAATTCTAGAAAAGATTTATCATCACACAAATAGTCCATCATTGAGTACACCTTTCCGTAGACTACGCGAAGAATATTGGGTTAGAAAACTAAGCATGGTCTTTCCATATATATACAATGACAATGTCGATAGTGTTTGAAATCTTTCCAGTCCATAGTATAACAATGTAAATGTGATGGGACTTTTTAACCATACACAGAGACGTAAGCGTAGCCATGGGTATCGGTCTTACAATAAACCTTTTATACATGATGTCTCCTTTGTTCATTACTACCTTACGTAAATCAACAGTCAGGTCTTCATCACATCGCACCAAATATTACTCTGTCCCTTTGAAACTTTTGAATAGTCTACTTGAAAAGGTCAAGGAAAGTCCATGTTTTGATTCCTCAACACCAGAATACAGGCTCGGATCTGTGGTTATAGATATAGCAAATCATAGGCTTTTTAAACCGCCACGTTTTACTGAAGTAAATACAGCTAAAACCGTCCTTTCCCCCTTAAACTTCAATATGTCAACAAAGGAATTGACGCGTTAATATAAGTAATTTTCTCAATCACAATAGGGTCAAGTGTTGAATTCCACCATATTTCAAATTGAAGACTACAGCCTGTATTTCCTACAAATATACATCGACTATTGCTTCCAAACTTTTTAATTACAAGATAACTTTACAGAGGCTGGATATTGAGCATCTGAAATATAATCCTCCATCGTGTTCATGTTCTTCTTCACTCTACAACTATAGTCCTGCTCAACACGTTATTACTGGTGACGTAAATTATATAGATAATAATGAGGACCTTAAATCACTTATTTTTAAAGGGCCAAAATTTAGGGAACCCCAATGTTTCAACTGGAATCATAATTTCATAAATATTATGAATTCTGTGGAAGATTATGCTAGGCGATTGGCCAGAAATGAAAAAGAAGACCTTGACACTTTGTTAGAATGGATTAAATGAATCAGATGTATGTTAAAATCTCGCATTGAGCGATTGAGGGGCAACATGAAAACCATCTATCCTGCTGTGTTCAATAATTCAGAAGTGAAAAAAGAATTAGACTACACGATCAATATATATTGGTCCAAGTCTACAAAGCAGGTAACAGCATTGTCTTTGTAAGGCTCATTATTTTAATTGTATTTTGAAGGAACTGGGATTTAAAAATTCAACAAGGGATAATCCAACTTATACTCATACCTCCCTTTCTATGGAGGAAATTCTTCATAATCATATGTCAGTTTTGAATATTTTTGATATTCCCAACAATCAAAATGAATTTGAATTACCATATTTATATTAGATTCTGAAACTTCATAAAAATAATTACAAACAAAGATACATAGCGGGTTCCAGTAAATGTTCTACCAAGCCTCTTTCTTTAATCCTCGATAAAATTATAACAGCAGTGAAGGAGAACCTTCAGGAGTACTATGCAACAATATATTCGAGAATTTGTGTAAATTAGATGTGGATACTTAAAAATTCCAAGGAACATTGGAAAAATTGAAATCACAAAAATTTAACAAAATCAATAACATAAAAACTTATGACTTTTCAACTCTATATACAACCATCCTTTACGATAAATTAAAATCCAGGCTTTTTGACATCATTGACATCTCCTTTTTCAATAAAAATGGAAATCGTAAATTTACTTACCTTTTCATTGGGAATTTGCAAAATCATTTTGTTAAAAAACATTCATATTGAATACACAAATACTCTGAACTTGATATTGAAAGATGCTTGAGTTTCTGATTGACAATATATACATGTATGTGGTTTTGGAGACCATGTCTTCCAACGATCTGTTGGAATTCCCATGGGTACTAATTGCACCCCGTTATTAGCAGACCTATTTTTATATTCATATGAAGCAGAATTTATTCAAAATCTTGAAAATTTTTCATTTTTTTTTATTTATTCAAAATTTATCCAAAATGCATGAGAAAAAGAAAACTCTTGCTGTGGCCTTCAACTCGACATTCAGATATATCTTCAACTTCCTTTACTTATGCAGCAATATAACCTCATCACCTGCATATGGGGTTAATATCTCTCAGTTAATTCGATACGCAAGAGATGTTCTACGTATGAACAATTTCCAAAACGAGGTAAGTCTTTGACATACAAGTTGATGAAACAAGAATATCAACAGTCTCATTTAAAGTCATCATTTTGTAAGTTCTATGGTGGATACAATGGCCTTGTCAGCAAATACAATTTTAAGTCAGATGCTGACTGAGGTTTTTCATACTAATTGTTAGGCCATTATTTACCCACTGAATTGTCGATGGTTTTTTTTTCCGTTATTTCCCGATCATGATTAAGAGCACACGGCGGGTGTGACCGGTCGGCAGGGGTTGCCCACTCCTCCATGGCACCTTGGTTTTGGAGGTCCGTGTTTGTTCTGCTCCCGATTTGTATTGTTTTAATGTACCTTGAGCTTGAATACTGTTCGTTATCTCCATATTTCATAATGAATTTTTATATTGATTAACATGTGTACTTGTATACTTGTAATTGATATAAAGAAGAACAGTGCAGGCACTAACCAGGTTACCTTCTTTAAATCTAGTTTTATTATATTATTATTATAATAAATTTTTATTAATCAGCCAGGACATATGAGGCAAAATAGAAGCTAGCCTTGCTAGACTTTTAGTTAATTATAAAAAATGGGAAATCATATCAATCCTAACTTGTGAACAACTGTGGTCTTATATTTCTATGTCCTTTTATTATTGGTCTGGTGGAGGCCAAAGTTGTCCTCCTTGTCAAGCCCCCTAAGAGAGGTGATATCCTGATAGGTGAGGATGCTGGTTGCTGAAATATGATTATTATGTGGATTTGGCGGACAATGACATTCAATTTTTCACTTCGTGATTTATTTTTAGAATGTTCTAAGACGTATTAAATCAGATAGCTTGGACATTCTCAAATGTATTTCAGCTTTTAACCCTTATTCAGACTGTAAAGTGATCAAAGTAATTACCTAATCACCTGTAATTGAAAGTGGGTACCTGTGCAGTATATAGGTACCCTAATGCGAGTTTCATTGCCTAATCGTCCTGGGCAGGAGGTGTGAAATGCTGATTCAGGTCGGTTACACTACCTTTTATGGAAGGCACTTTTCAACACGTGACGATGTTTTCGTCAAACCCTTTCTCCATTCAATTGAATGAGTCGCAAAGCATGACGGTCCACTACGTATAAAT